TCCTAAAGAGGCGGTGAAGTTGATGTGCTTAGAGAAAAAGAGACCGCCATTCAAGATCAAAGTAAGAAGTTACCCTCCTGATTTAAAAGAGTAAGTTTTGGATTATGTCTTCAATTTCTTTTGCAAATTGAATAGGAAGTTGTCCCAAAACCAAGAATGGTACAATGGATCTAGAAAACGACTGCTTATGCAAATTCGATATTGATCAAGTAAAGGCAGTTCCCTAAAACCAGCTAGAGACAGGGCTTGAGCTACTAGTTTCTCTTGTTTTACATGGTTTTCCAATCTCTTCTTAAGCTTGACTCACTATTGTCTTGCTCATAGAAATGAGAGGAACATCCTCAAGGGAGTAGCTTAATTTCTTTGGGAACCATCTTGATCTTCATGTAGGTTGATTGATGAATGTTGGCATTCAGAACCTGTTGTCAGACCAACCTTTTCTGAGATCATCACAAGACTGGATAAAGTTTGTTGCAACTGTTCAAAACAAGGATGGTGGAAAGACACTTTTAAGCTTCCATGGTATGGATCTCTTGCCCTAAATCTCTGAAGCAGCGATATATACTGGCCTAAGACCACTGTGTTTTACCTCATTGTTCTGAGTCAATGTTTAATGAGCTCATTAATTAAGTGCAGGAAGTAACAAGGGAGGCATTCAGTGACATTTTCAAGAAGAGGAAACATGGAACAAGACCGAGGATTTTCGTCGACGAAATTAACAGTTTTGGAGCTTCATGTTATACATTGGTCATTAAGGGGACAAATAAATTGGGATTAAGATCAAAATGAGTTGCTGTGTCCTTGTTCTCTTGTTCCTTTGTATGTATAATATGTGCACCTGGGATTCTTGTATGAATTGAAATAGTAATTTTACTTTATATTTCTGTACACAATGCTAGAATTTTTTTTCCTGCAAATAGCATGTGCTGCTATCAAAAAATCTTGAACCGTAGCTGCTTGTCATTGGATCATTTCTTCAATTGTAGACTTAAGGTATAAGAAGCACTTTGGTAAGAACATGAGCAAGCTGATCCTCTGAAGAAATGAAGTGAACCTGAATCTTCTAAATGGCTACTTTATCGTAAATAAAGTAATAGTCAACCTTGATATGTATGTTTAGTGTGAGCATAAAAAAAATTAATTGATAAATAAATAGTACTCAAATTATCACACCATAATATAGAAACACTATAAAACCAAAGCTCTGAAAATGGAGAATGAATCTATAAATTTTCAATTTTCAGTAGTGTCATAAGTTCAAAACTTGTATTTAGCTTCAATAAAAAAATATCAAGTAACAATATGAGATAGGAATGGTACCAAAAAACACAAGATATCCATATGTATATTTCTGATCATTAATAATTCTAACCTAAACAATATTAATAAAATCACGGAGAGATAAAAATACATTATTATGATTGATGTATGGGCAATAGGAAATTATGATCTTTAAATAGCTTAGAATACATTTGATTGAAACCCAATAAGCTTTCAAAGTGAGCATGTATAAACTGACATATTTTATTCATAACATAACACAAATTTGATCTAGTTAAAGTAAGATATAAAAAAACATCAATAATTTATCAATAATGTATAGTGTCAGAGTACACATTACCAAATAATATAAGTCAATTTAGAAGAAGAGAGAAATATAGGAGTATCAACAGATTTATAAAAAGACATACATGCTCTGTAAAGAACATCAAGAACATATTTATGTTGGGTGAGTATAAGTCCTATAGATTTGAATTTAACTTTAATTTTCAAGAAATAATGAACCAAACCAAAGTCGTGAAGCTTGAACTTTGAGCTCCATAACAAAATCAATTTGGCTAGTAAAGTGAAGTTACTCATTGTAAGCAAAATATTATCATCTTACACAAATAGATAGACAATATCAACAGTCATAAAAAGGATAAATAAGAATGTATCAATCTTATAAGTATAAAAACTAATGGAACAAATAATTACTTAAGTGATTATATCAAGTTCGAGGAGTTTGTTTCAAACTATATAATAATTTATACAGATGACACATATGAGATACTAGGGCATAATGAGTAAAGTCACGAGGTTGCTCTATATAAATCTCTTATTGAAATATCTTATTTAAAAAGACATTATAAATCTTTTAACCTCAAAAAACAACAATAGCAAGTACTAACATAAACATAATGGGTTTAACCATATGGCTAAATATTTTTTAATAACCAATACTTTTATGTCGAGTAATTAAGAAATAATGTATAATCTAAGTTATCTTGTCTAGGTAATTGTTTTAACCTATATAAATCCTTCTTCAACTTGCATGCTACTTCAATTTGTGAGCCTATAATGTATCTTCATGTGAACTCCTTTAATATCTTATTGAAAAAAAATATTTTTTAATCAAACTAATGTAATGGACACCCCAAATTTGTTGTTAGAGATGTTAGAATCTAAATTTTATTTGACTTCGCTATGTTTTAGTATATTTTTTAATATATTTATAATAAAAAAATATTTTAAAAAATAACCTTTTTCATTTAAAATCATCTTCAACATTATCAGTATTTGAAACTAACAACCCAAGGTGACCACCAGCTCTGCTTTTTCTTCACTGAATTGTATCAATAACCGAGAGTTTCATCATTTAAGATATGAAAAAAAAATTATAAATTATTTTTAAATTAAAATAAGTAATAATTAAAAAAATAAACAAGAAATTAGTAGATAGGAATTTTTTATTAAAAAATAAAAAAAATAATAATATTTTATATTTATTAAAATATGAATTGCCTCTCAATATATTTGATAATTAAAAAAAAAAGTATCAAATGATGAAAAAGCCTCTGGACATCCCTTTAACAAGTTATGCTTTTATTTGTAACTTTTAGAAAATATATTTAACCAAAAATTATATAAAAAAACAAGTTTTTTTTTAACTCAAAAATATTTTTCATCGACAATCATTGAGAAATTTAGATGGTGTTTTCCTCCGTCAAACAACCGACAGGGGCCATAGCTTGTTGTGTCAGCAACTCCGCGTTAAATAAAAAAGAAAAGAAAAAGAAAAAGAAAAAGAAAAGAAAAGATAGGAAACTTTATTTCGTAATCTTAGATGACTTGGAAACTTCAAGCGAAGACTCCTTACATTTGTGTGCATAATTCTCCAGGGATTCAATGAGACGAGCTTGACTATGGAAGTGGAGGGCATCAAACTAAATGAGAAAACTTACATGAATGACAAACTAAATATCTGGAATTAGTTTATTTTAATTATTTTTTTAATAGTTAATTTTTAATATAAAAATATTTTAATAAATTTTGCAGGAACAGATACTGCCACCCAAATCCATCTTCTACCTTTCTCTTCGACCTCTCAAGACAGTCACACCAAGTGACCCAAAGGAGCGCGGACCGCCGTTACTTTTGGTTTGTGGCGTCAGCAACTCCGCCTTAAAGGAAAGAAAAGAAAAGAAAAGAAAAGATAGGACCATATGTCGTATGAAAAGCAACCTCCATTAAAGATCATGCAAACTTGCTGTGGAAGTGTTTCAATGGTACAGACCGCAAATACTACGTGGAAAAGCAAAAACAAATGTTTCAGCCTCACTTTTGCAATATTATGCTGATATTTTTTTTATTTAAAGGATAAGAATAATTTAAAGTATTTAAAATATTAACCAAGTAGATAATTTCTGCTTTATATATAAAACTTTATTAAAATTCAATTACTTAATCAGTTAGTGATATTAAATATTTTAAAAATAAAATAAAGTCAATTATCTTATTTTAGATGTATTAACTTTAATAATTATAGGATTTGATTTTTTTTCTTGTTAGTTTTTCTATTTAAAGTGTTGTAATGGTATTTGAACAAGAATATTTAAGGAAAATATTAACTTCAAGCTGGGAAGACTCCTTTCATTCTTGTTTTCCATTTCTTTCTTCTGTGTTGGGGCTCGTCTGCGTCGCAT